TTTTTTTTTTTTTTTTTTTTTTTTTACACTCATCCTTGTCAGTATGTTTGAATTCAGCCTGTCCTCCATCACCCTCACCTGCTGCACTTCCAGCTTTATTTTTTGTTTGTTCAAGTCTTTTATTTTCTCCCCACTGTCTTCTCGTCATAATTCTGGTCCGTTTTCTTGTCTGACCATTCAACCCTGTACTTCACTCTATAGTACACCTGCCTGCAAACATGTCGAAGGTGGTCACACTGTTCTTCAACACTTTTCTCAGTGTGCCATTAATAATGTTCAATCTATTTTCTCTACTGAATCATATGTGAATGGACTCCAGTATTTTGTCATTTCATCACCAAGTTGTCCTTTCCTCTCTCTTCAAAAGGAACAAACGCACACCTATACTTCAGCTCAGCCTTATACTCCTTTATGAAACTTTATGAAGAAGCCTCTTGGATGAGAGGTGAAATGTCTTTTTTTAGAAATTCTTTTGAAATTAGAAAATTCACGTCCAGTTGCCTAACAGAACTTTCAAACTTGACCATGACCTGGATGACTGAGAATATTCATAGACATATACTCCTTTATCTTATTTTGTTCTTTGTCGAACTTTGAAAGCATCATTGTCCACTTTTATAAATCCCTTTTAACTCTTTTTTTTTTTTAATTTTGAACACAGGCTCTTCTTCCACATACAATGAATTTTTGACATAGCTGTTGTCTTAGACCAGGACCTTCATGTCTCCACACTTGTTCTCTGTAACAACTAAACCCTGTCCTTAACACCACACTCTAGACTTATAATGAAAGGTATATATAAAATATAAAGGAACATTCCGTCAGCCTTCAGGGATACTGTAACTCTGGCTCCCTTCACCAAACTTAATATTACATCTCATATGGTTGGGAACGACCCATTAAATGGATCAATACATGGTTAAACTACTACACTTTAAGGAATTATTCCAGGAGATATTCTCTCTTAGTTGGACAGAACAGTTTACAGAACTGTGATATGAAATTAGATGAGTTTTTTTAATAGAATTATTATATCTAATTATTTTCTATCTATTATTGTATTCTAATTATTATTAGAACTATTCAAATGTACTGGAAACCAGTACAGATTCGAAGATAATATTGATCAAAAATGCTCAAGTCTTTGTTAAACACACAGCTAACTTAGCATCATGTCCTTCAGCTGTCCAGCTTTACCATATCTTAAACACATTTTTATTTAAAATCCTTAAATAGACCCTCATATATACACGCATATTCAGAGGCTTACTCAGAGCTAGAGTTTATATGTTCTCTCTGAGTATGTGTTTTGGAATAAAAGGGAACTCTAACCCTCGCAGTCTTGGAATGATTTGTTTAGAGTGTTTTCCTGCTTGGAGGGACATACGTTGGATTGAGATCCTGTATGAAACTAATAAACCCTTTGTCCTCCACAATTGAGAAGGTTTGGAAATCATTTGCAGGAACATGGGACTGTAGTACCACTTGTGGACAAGTGGAAGATAGTTTTAAAGCCAAAAATGTCACTATAAAATTCAAGTTTAAATTGAGAATGTATTTATTCTTGTTATTGTTATTCATGTCCTTTATTCGACTTTACTCACATAGAATAATGGGCTTGAAAGTGCCATCATACACAGCACACCACAGCACCTAAACATGGCTGTACACTTGCGATACACACGCACACATACACCAACAAGTTAAGCTAAATGTCCTACGCCAAACATCTGCTCCCTATGTGCCAATGGATGTAGAGCGGGAAAGGGAGGTTCAGAAACAGGGAGGAGAGGTTGAAAATATAAGTGAGAAAATCACTTTGCACCAAGACTTTCAGAGCTGCATAAAAAAACAGTTTAACGTTGCAGGGAGGGTGGATGCTCCGAAACTCCTCACTCTTACTTTCCTCTGGTCCATCTGTCTGCTCTTCATACTTCTCTGCCCTCCACTCTGCTGCTGTGGCGTCAACAAGATAAACCTGGGAAAAAACTGTTCTGTAAGTTTGTCTTTTTCATTTTATTTATTAATATACACTACCGGTCAAAGGTTTTAGAACACCCTAATTTTTCCAGTTATTCATTGCAGTTCAACTCGTGTAAGCACAATGAATTGCTTGAAATGGTACAAAGGTAAGTACTGAACAGCCAGAGGTTAAAAAAAAAGGTTTGGTTACCCAAAACTGAAAAATAATGTACATTTCAGAATTATACAAAAAGGCAATTTTCGGGGAACACGAAGTGGGTTAACAATTTAAAGCTGTTCTGCAGCAATGAAGGTTGAATCAGCCTTGAAAGCTGGTGCTCTAACTTTTCTGGATTACTTACAACCCCTCTCTGTCTGCATAAAAGCAGTGTTGGAACACACTGTGGTACCAGACCCTCATGAGCATCAGGTGAACAGTATTGTACTGTATTGCAATTAACAATGGAAGAGAGAAAGACCATCATAACACGCAGGTATTTCCTACAGGGAAATTGCAAAGAAAGTCAAGGTGTCAGTGAGTACAGTTTTCTTCACCATCAAAAGGCACTCAGAAACTGGGGGAAACTCTGACAGGAAGTGGTCTGGGTCTGGGCCAAATTCTCTTTTGTAAAATTTGGGACGATTGTTAGGAAGGTTGTGCAGTAGAACAGTTGTTTAAATACTCAGACCAGATAGACTGATATCACCTCTGCCACAGAAGTCTAGGCAAACAGCCCAAAGTTCCCTAAATATTAGAGATTAGGAATTTCTGTAATACACAGACCTACGATACTAAAGAGAATAATGTGCCATGAAATGCTTCCATATTGTAAAGTAGGTTTAATGATACAATTCCACATGTAGAACACCTTCTCAAACCAAAATTAGAGCTGATAATGGAGAGTTGAGACCATGTAGTACCCCTTTCTACCTGCAGGGCGACCTATTAAAGCACTTTGAATGTATTTGGTCAATGTGCTTGGTTAGTGGTAAAGCAATACCATATTGTTTACTCTTACATCTAACCCTTTAACTCATTATTTGTTCTAAAGAACAAGTAAAATGTTAACCTAAGAAGATAAGAGATGAGACGATGAACCTTGTACTGGTTAGGAACAGGCAGAGATGATGATACTGAGCTAACACAGGGCTAATGAGCTGTGTAGCTGTGACATTTAGGAAACGCCTCTTATTAGGATGCAAAAAATAATAATACACCACAATAATACAATACAGAATACATTCCTTTCTCAAATTATATTTATTAGGAATACAACATATATGTTGTGTATATGTTAAGAGATGTCTATGTAAATAATGAACCTCATCTTCTTTGTTTTCCTCTCCATATTTATTTCTGATTTTATTCCTCTTTTTATGTTTTTTCACTTTTTTTCTCTTTCTTCTTTTTATACTATACTTTTATACTCCTCTTTTTATGTTTTTTCACTTTTTTCTCTTTCTTCTTTTTATACTTATTTATTTATTCTGTTTTTCTTCTGTTTCTGTTTCTTTTCTTCTTTTTCTTCTTTATTTGTGTATTGGCAGCTGACATCCTCTAGGCTGCCCTGCTGGTGACAAAACTATACAGGGTTTGCTATAAGGTAAACATGAAGTGTAAAAGTCTTTGAAGACAATATTACTTTCATTTGATTTTATTTGTTTATTCTTCCTGCACCTTTTATTGGCAGCTGGTCCTTCGGGTCAAGGTGACCCCCGGGTCACCTAGACCCAATATGTCTTTGTGTCTGTGTGTCTGTGTGTGTGTTTGTGTGCGTGCGTGAGTATGCGTGCGTGTGCATGTTCCTGTACTGCATAACTTGTGCCAACTTTTCCTCATATTCATTAATACTCATATTCTGGGACAAGGTGTGTACAAAAATGCGAAGGACCACACAAGGGTTAACCCGGTATGTTAGTTCAGGCTATTACACACATGATCTTGTACGGGTGAAATGCGAAGGACCGCACAAGAGTTAACCCGGTATATTAGTTCAGGCTATTACACACATGTTCTTGTACGGGTGTTTTTTTTTTTATGTGTGCATGTATCGTTTACATATCTGTGTCCATATGTCCTTCAGCTGAGGGAAAATTCTGCCCTATGAAAAAATATAGGAAACCTGTTCGTGACTGTAATTATGGGAGATTAAGGGGCAGTGCTGTTCTATAGCTGTGAGTCCAGGATGAAGACTCTGCCCAGCATGTGGTCCATGTCTGGCCACACAGGGAAAGAACACAGCAACAACTCCACTTAGTGTGACGCTGATTAGAAGCTCGTTCCTACAGTGTAATTACACACTGTAAGGAGATGAACAGGTTTGCTGTGTTAACACTGGACTTTACAGTTAAACAGAGAAGAATGTTGAAAAGTCATGACGGAGAAATAATTCAGGGTGGGGGAGTTTATTTAGTTGGCTGTACAGGCAGAACTATTTTCATTAGCTCTGCGCTGCTGTGGGAGGTGGGGCGCAGATGATGCTGCTGCTGCCCAGTGTAAATATAGAAGCCAAAGCCGCAGATCTCCCACGCCTCTCTGCTTCCTCTGCTGCAGAACTTCCTCCTGACTTTGGTGTGGTGGATCGGTGGCCTCCTTCCTCTTCACAAATTATATGGCCCGCGCCCCATTGAAAATAAAAAAGCCACAGCCGCAGATCTCCCACACCTCTCAGCTTCCTCTGCTGCAGAATTTCCTCCTGACTTTGATGTGGTGGATCGGTGGCCTCCTTCCTCTTCACAAATTATAAGGCCCTCTGCACCAAATTCACTGTCTCCACCCCAAATAAGTAATGGCTACTCTGCTGCCGGCTAAAATAGATCTGGTCCAAGACAGACAGCGTCATAAAACCTGAGGGAGATTTATACTGGAGGTGCATTCACAGTTATAGATCTGGGCAGAAATAAATGTGCTGCACAAAAGACGGCTCAACCATAAAAGGACAAGAACAATCGGTGTTGCAGGAGATTATCCATCCATCCATTTTCATCCGCTTATGCGTTACCGGGTCGTGGGGGCAGCAGTCTCCATGACCGCCACCCAAATCACACTGCACCTTACCAGCCCCTAACCAGGATTCGATCTTTCCCAGGAGGTGAACCCTGGGGTTCCACACCAATGACGGAGACATTACCTCTGGGCAAAAGCACCACTGCAGGAGAGTAAAGAGATGCAAAAAAACCCTAAAAATAATTACTAAGATCTAATTTGTGTTTATTGTAGTTAACTTGATCTGCTTCCTCTGAATTTAAAGTAAAGTAAACACAAACAAACTCTTTCTCACAGTAGTAGATGGTCTTTGAACTAAACCAGGTTATTTATTTCCTGTTTTTATGATACCCTGCTTTTATTCGCTAAAATTAACACAATTACCAGGTTCAACAAACCAACCAACCAAACAACCAACCAACCAACCAATAGATAACAAATTAAAAGCAAAACTGCAAATAAAAGAAGACCAAACCAATATTAAAATATATGGATTTCTTAAGTAATTGGACAAATAAGACAGGAAAACAGTGGCTAATGAAAAATAAGGGCCATTATTTTCAAATGCTAGGAATTCTGGATGAAAATAGGTTATTTTTGTGTGTTTTTACTCATTTAGCAGGCTGGTGGGGTTTAAAACTGCATCCTCTTCACTTTGTCTGGGGATTCTGGATCTGGAGATTTGCAATTATTTCTTTAAATTGCTAAATGTATTTATTTATTTAAATTGCTTTTTTTTAAAGCTCAGAATATCAATTCACATTGTGATTTTTTCTACTCGTCTTATGGAAAATATTTGCAATCTTAAAATTACAAATCTTGCAATTAAATCCATAACACGTGTCTGTTGTGTTCACAACACTCAGGTGTAAAGATCTCACTTGGTTTTCCACGTCACTTATGTGACGCTGCTGTCTCTGTGCATCACTCTCTGTCGCGCCGCTCCGATGTTCTACAACACATCTCAGGACAGCAGTGGTGATGAAGAACTTGAGCTACTTTTCCCAGTCTCCTTCTCTACACGGGAACCGGTCCACATCAACACATCTACTGTAACCCCCACCCTGAAGGACACCATCACCACCACCATGATCCGCCTGAAGGACTTTGTCCTGACCAGAGTGGTGGACTTCCTGCAGGAGAACATGTTGATCATCATTGTAGTCACCTCTCTTCTCATCGTCATGGTCTTCATCATCTGCTGTGCTTCTGCTATGAGTCAGAAACGGAAGCTGGAGGCCTACAAGCCCACTGCTAATCCACCCAGGAAGTACATGGCAGATAAGAATGCCAGTGATCTCCATGAGAGGACCTATGCCGTGGACCATGTTAAGAGAGTCCAGATCCAGAGCATGCCCTCACCCAAGCACCTGAGCTCCCCATCCAAAGCCCTGGTAGGAGAGAAAGGAAGGGACGTCAGGTCGTCCCCTCGGCAGGAGGTAAGGAAGGTGAGGGGGGAAGAGGAGGTGGAAAAGCGGAGAGAGGAGCCCAGACACAAGGAGCAGTCCAAGCAGAGAGGGGAGGTACAGCAGTGGAGCTCCAGCGCCAGTCAACCTGTCTGCACATGTCATCTGAAAAAGGCTCATCACTAATCCAAGGTTCAGGATCAGAGAGATTCAAAATAGTTGAACCATGGCATTAAACCTAAAACAAAATGGAGAAAGGATAAACCACAAATGTAGGCTCATCTCAAAGGATGTCGAGCTGCAGCAGGCAAAAATTTAAAAGCTATTGTCATTAAATTAGCATGAACTCACAAACACCTTCCATGCTAGATGACAGCAGTATGTTTGCCTTTAGCCCAGTATGAAGCATAACATCAATACCAACATGACTTCTTACTGTTTTCAGAACAGGTGACGTTAGGTGCTTCTCTGACAGAAAATGTCTACATCACCAAAGAGTAATGGTAGACCAGATAATGCTACAGAAATAAAAAAAACAAACAAACAAAAAAAGAAACAGGTTTTTGTCATGGTTAGCATAGCCACTGCACAAGATAAAGAATGTTAGCTTAGTGACAATATCATTAGGTTCTGTGGCAAAACAAGGTTTTCTTCTCTACTGTAAGTCTTGGCCTCAAACTCATCTTTGAGGACTTTTGAGTGATGATCATATTTAGAGGAAAACTAGTAATAAAAATAAAATAGCATGAGTGCGTACAAGATGAATTTAACCATGTATGGTATTTATCTAGAGAGCAGGAGGACAGGACAGCTTATACTGTAAGTTTAAAAAGAAAAAGAAATCCTGTATGAAAATCACTAAAGATTAAAATATCCAAAAATAAAAAGATGAGGCCTTACATAAAAGTCTATATTTGAAATGTGCAAATACTTCTTCTAAATTATTCTTATAGATAAACAAAATACTAAGAAAATAGTTTTTGGTTTAATGTTGTTTTCGTAGGTGTTTTTCATTTGATTTAGTCAGGGACCTGATGTGTTGCTGTAATCAGGTTAATTGTGTAGTCTTCACCGTTGACTGCTGCACCACCTAGTGTCAACATCAAACCACTGCAGTTCATTAGTAGGAGTTAACTTTGGATTTATAAAAATAAAAACCTCTAAATTCTTTTCATGACACATAGATGTGTTTCTCACTTTGCCTACTCAGACAGAGGAGTCTCCTCTGTCTGTCCTGCTGTATGTCACAGCCTGGGCTGAATCTGTCTGTCTCTCTGTTTAGACAAACACCGCTGATGACGTAAATAAAACACTAAGTGAAATGTTAGTAAACTTGACTTTTTACCAACAATCTCTTAATATTTACACCCATATCTACCTTATTTTGCCTTTCACATAAAGTTATTTTATTTTCAAACCTTTCTTTTTCACAAAGCTTTATACCAACTTTATACCAACTTTAAATGAAACACTACTCACTGTAGCTGTGTATGTGTGAGCTGACAACAGGATATAATTATTCTTACTTTTTAGTGCACAGAGTCAATTAAAAATGTAAAAAAAGAATATGTAGAAAAACGTTAAAATATTAAAATATGAAAATATAGAAAATGTTTTATGTTTGTTAGGAATACCCAATTGTTCTGGAGCAGAGATGCTACTGTTCCAGGGTGAACACATCTTGCAAAAATAATAAAAGTTCTATTGAATTTGACTAGAAACAAAGTTTTTTCTGTCCTGGTTTAAAAAAAAAGTATTCTAACAGACTTTGTTGCACCAATGTCACTTGAGAAGCATTATCTTAAAACCCCTGGGAGCTAAACTCCTCAGGACATAAGCAGGAACCATCTGTTTTTCCTCATATTTATTTATTGATCATTTCAAAGAACACGTTCTTCTCTTGTACTTTTATGGTTTATTATGGTATGAAAGCTATAAAAGCTATGAAACAAAATGGTTAGACTTTTCCTTTTTCTTTAAAATTATGTTTAAGTTAATGTGTGTATTTTAATGTGATGGTTTTTTACCTAATTGAGAACTTAAAAACAGGGATAAATGAGAGCGGTTTAAGCTTGACAATTCTTTCATGTACTCACTGTCTCAGTACTTAAATCAACGATTGTGGGTATTAGTATAACTTTCATTAACTATGATCCATGGGTTCTTTTTGTTTAATTTCCATAAAAAACTCAGATTTTTTATTTTTTTTTTGCTTTTAAACATGCTTCCTCTAAGTGACCGATTTATTGTTAAATAATAAGAATTGTGTTTGTGTTCTGCCTTATATTTAATAAAGGTGTTGATTTCACTACATCCATTATTACTGAAATTACAAGTGTGTAAGAAAACCCAAAGAGTGAAAAAAAAACAAACCTTAAATGATCACAGAGCTGATTTTTTTTTTAAAGATGAAACTCGACTCTTCCAATTATGTGGCACTGAAACATTTACTTTTGAGTTGGATCCATTTAAGATCTGTGACAACCAGTGGTCACATACCAAAGAGAAGGCTGTTGCTCAGTAGGTAGAGTTATTTGGTCTTTTAAATGAAAGGTTGTGGCCTGATCTCAGGCTCCACTGTGTCTTTAGGCAAGGCACTCGGCCCTGAGTTTCTCCTGGTGGCTTTGTGGCTGGAAGAAGTGTACTAGAAGAAGAACATGTACTGTGTGACTGTGTGACTACATGGGTGTAAGAAAAAAGAAATTAAAATGCTTCAAATGCAGGATGGTGATATGAAGGGATATTAAAAATAAGAAAACAAAAAAGAGATGGAACTAAAGCTTGTTCTGTGCAAATTGCAGGGCAATCCAGTGACAATGGTAGATTTAGAATATATAGAATGTATAGAATGTAAGAGTATACAATTTACAAACAAACAGACGTCCAGACCAGAATCAGAATCAGAATCTCTTTATTGTCATATGCACCAGGGAAGGTGATATGAAATTTAGTTTTGTACGACCCGTTCCAAGAAAAAAACATGAATAGACAATAAAAACAATACAAATAATTGACAAGGGGGGACAGGAACAGGAAGGCCAGGACGCAGCCCGTGGTCAGCGCACCCTTATATTAGATGAAAAACAACTGAAAAACGATAGGGAAGGAGGAGGAGGG